AAAGAGCACACCTTCCCCATTACCAGCCCATGGGTCTGACCTGGATCCCATTCAGCCCGCAGCCTAGCTCCCAATGGGAACCATGTCCATGTAGCCAGAAGGGTCAGGCTGCGCACGGAGGATCACAGCCTGGCGCCTGCCTTGGATCCAGGGCTCCTGCTGCCCTGTCTGTTAGGGCATGGAGACAGCTGCTTGTGTCACCCTCCCCGCTTTCCCCATGAACGTGGTGTCCCTTTCGCAGGCCTTATGTGACATGGAGACCAGCGGAGGAGGCTGGACCATCATCCAGCACCGGAAGGACGGGTCCGTGGACTTCCACCGCACCTGGAAGGAATATAAACAAGTAAGGCTTTTCTCGGCCTGCGGCGGTTTGGAACCACTGCTGTTTCCTTGCCTAGGGACAGGAAGGGCTTCCTGTACAGGCTGGGAACAGCCCAGCTATTTCCCTGGATGACAGGACCACGCTTTCCCCAGCAGCCCCACGTGCAGTGGGAAGGAAGGCAGAGCAGAGGTGACTGCCTTGCTGTGTAACGGGGGACGTGGTGGGTGCCCCAGAATGTGCGGGGCAGCAAACAGAGGAAGAGGGAGGAGGGAGAGAGCTGAGCTACTGTGCTGGCCACCCCTGCCTTGCTTGGGCTGGGTTGTGCCCTGCAAGCAAGCACCTGGCCCTGGGGCGGCTCTTGCTGCGGGTCAGGAGGACTTGGGAACAGACAGGAGTTTGTGGGGATGGCAATTGGGCTGCAGTGGAGAGAACACCTCCTCCTCCTCTCAACCGGAGAGCATGGCTTCTCTGCTGGGCATCCCAAGGGTATGTTGTAGGAAAGGACATATTGCATTCATGGTCCTCCATGTTTGTAAAGACCCCTTCTGCTCACTGCAGTGCCCACACAGGCAGGATTTCTCCTGTGCTGAGGTCCTATGGGAGGGCTGCTCTTGAAAGGTGCAAGCTCAGCTCTGCTAACTGCGCTTATGTCTGGGATCTCCCCACTGAAGCTGGCCGACTGCTGCTGGTTTGGCCCTGAGAATCCTGATTGGCCAGAAAAGACCTGGCAGAGTGTCCAGCCCAAGCACACAGTCACTCTCCCTTTATCACATGTCATTTCAGTCCTTCTGTGAATCATCTGCAGGGGCATGAAAAATAGATCGTGGCTAGAACTGTGAGGGGGGAACTGGGGTGCACAGGGCTGGTCCTGTGCCTGGAAACCTTAGGAGAAAAGATCTGGAGTGCATCCTCACCTGTGCTGCCTGCTGAAGCCAGGTTGCATTGGGAACACAGTGGGAGCAGGGCTCCCATGCAGGTGGGCTCTGCCTGGGACATTACATGTACCTGGGTTGTCTTTTTGCAGCCTAGGCTCTGCTGTAACAGCCTGGGGAGCACAGTCTGAGCATGGCAGGGGGAGATGAGACAACTGAATTGGCCTTTCCAGGGAAGTGATGGGGGCAGTGACCTGGATTACAGCTGTTCTAGACCTCTGCATGGTGGCAGGGCCCAGCGCAGAAGTTGCTGTGCTGGCCTTGTATCTGCTGCTCATGCTGTGCGGTCATGTGTGCGGTTGCTGCAGTATGCAGGACATTGCACCACCGGCTTCCTTCCAGGCTCCTGTCAACCCAGTGGGGGCATCTCGCAGCCTTGTCCAAAGGCAGCTAAACACCATTGCACCACTGTGCTGGGAACCATTCCAATCTGACTCCACAGCCAGAGCCTGCATCCCACGTGAGTGGTTCAGGAGAGGGCTCCTTGCCCACCAGTCAGGCCACTGATGAACCCTCCCATCCTCTTGGGCAGTTCTGGTCCACCTGGAACCAGGTCAGCCCCTGATGGAACAGGAATTGTGGAGCAGGAGCTGGGTAACTTGTGCTTTGCTCAGTAGCAGCCACTCTCCAGGGATGAGCCCTGTGCTCTGAGCCATGGCCAGCTTCCTGCCTGATTCTCATTAGCTTTCCTCTGCCTCACCAGCTCTTCTGCTTTTTGTCCCTGCAGGGTTTTGGGGCCCCACCTGGAGAATACTGGCTGGGCAATGACTTTATCCACCAGCTCACCACTCAGCGAGCCTACTCCCTCCGGGTCCAGCTCCGGGACTGGGATGGCAACGAGGCCTACTCCCTATACCAGCACTTCCACTTGGGCAGCGAGGAGCAAAATTACCGGTGAGTCTCGCTTGGTCTGTGTTACTGCAGGTTTGTGCCTTCAGGATGATCTTCCCCTCTTACCACCCCCTGTCAATCCTGCCAGACCTGTGTTCTCCTGGACATCCCGGTGGCTTTGGGGGCAGCTCCTGTATCTGTTGGAGGCAGCTTATCCCCATTTGCTCCCATCCACATATGGAATCGCCATACAGGACACTGCATGGAGACTCGTGAAGTGCAGCTGAGGCCCTTGTGTCCCTGTCCACCCTAAGGTGATTTCAGAGTGAACACTGGGTCCTGCCCTGGAGCCAGTCAATGATGTTTCTTCTCGGTTTGAATGCTCCTGGCCACCCACAGCCAGGTGCTCTGTCTGCAGAGGTGTCCTCGCTCTCCTGTTCAGCAGCACGCACCTGGGCGTCAGCATCCACATTCACAGAACCCTGAGTCTGACATTGACTCAGACCCTAGTCAGGGATTTGCTTTTGGGGAAACCCCATGTACTTCATCCTGCTCCCAGCACTGGGGCCCCTAGAAAGGAGCAGAGCAGGGATGGACCCGAGGTTGCTCACGCAGCGATGCACCCTGCACCCTCTTTGCTCTTTGCCCTCAACCTCTAAGAATTTAGAGCAGAGAGGCTGGCTTCTTCCGACCAGGTAGCCCCCCAAGAGCCAGCATGTGCTGCACTCTCTGCTTTCCAGCCACTCCTGGAGTCAGCTCGCTGACCTTGCAGTTTGAGCGCTAGTACTTCTGGGCTGCCTGGAGTAACCCATTGAATTGTTTTGTACGTGGTGAACCAGAGCAGAATCCTCTAGGAGGATGCCGTACATAGCAGCACCATTGGATCTGCTGGAGCGCCTGCAGGCCTTGTGGCAACATGGACCCAGTCCTGGTCTTGATCAAAGGGAAAACAACTCTTCATCTGCAGCTCCAGCATGTGCTTACAGCAGCTGTGCGTGTCAAGCATGTGTCTAGACTAGAAACTACTGCTGGGAAGAGCACTACCAAATGAGAGGAATAGCCAGGGCCTGGAGTGTGATAAATGCCCCAGAGCTGTCTCTGATGGGAGGGCATGACTTCACAAAGCCTTGATGAGATTTTCATGCTCCCTTCCTAGCTTGTTTAAATCCCTTCTGGAGGCAGATCTGTCTAATAAGGGGTTTACTGCTGATGCAGCAGCCCTCTATGTTGTGCAAGCAAAAGAAGCCAAAGAGATAAAATGGTTTGTAAACATAGCGGCCAAGAATATGCCTTTTGCCAACACTGAGATGAGCCATGGCCAGCATGGCCAGGGGAGTGCTTGGAGAGCTGAGCCAGCTCCATCTGCACCCCGCAGCAGATGTTGCTGCCATGCCACACAGAATATGCCAAGGCAGCCCAGGTGCAGCATCACAGAGATCACAGAGCTTCCTGATCTGCTAGTGTCCTCATGCCATATTGTCGAACAAATTGGCTGGCCCAAAGGAAGCTACTGCCCTCTGAGTTCATGTCCATTGTCTCCTCAACTCCCATTACAGCCATCAAAGCTCCTTCAGGGAAGCAGTTGGAAGGGGAGAGAAGCCCTGGTCCACTGCACTCCATCCTCCTCTGGGAGCTCCAGAGCCCCTCTGGCTTCGGGTAGCACAAACCTCCAGCACTGCTTCCCTGGAAAGTCTGTCCAGACATAATTGATCTGGCAATCCTTCCCCAGTGCTGCAGGTCCCAGCTCTCTGGCACCTGTCTGTGATAATATTTGTCTCTGGTGGCAGGCAGGAAGCCAGTTGTCTCCCCTATAAAAGCATACCTCTGAGCACCTGCAGCCTCAGCTAACAAGGAGAACAATAGCCCCTGCCCACCTCAGTGCCAAGCTAAATATCCCCCGTCACAGGCATGGTTTGTTTTGCAGAGGGAATTGTGTGAGAAAGTAGCAAAGCAAACATCAGCTCTTCAGAGCACACGGTCCTCCCCGAGGCAGGCCAGGGGCTGCCCAGGGCATGGCGTCCTGGGGCGTGAGATGCTAGGAGGGCTGTGTTGGTAACTGGTTTGGAAACTCCAGCTGCTGAGGTCGCCACTCCAGAGCCCTGGCGACAGGTGAGCAGGACTTTGAGCCATCTCAGCAGCACCTGAGGGCAATGGAGGATCTGTCTTGCAAAGCACTTCCCATTGCAAGTTCTGGGCAAGGTGGGATCGTGGCATCACTAGCTCTCATCATGTCTGGTGCTGTCTGCAGAGCTGCCGCTCCCAGGCGTCCTCCAGGGCACATACTGTCTCCCCCTGTCTGGGCAGCTTCAGCAGAATGGGTCTAGGACTAGGTGCACACAGAAATGGGCAGCACAGGGGTGCTAGCTGGACCCCAGGGCATCCTGGCATCCATCCCTCTCACCCTCTTGTAAGCCTCATGGATAGATTGAACATTCAGCACTCTGTGACTACCCACCCCAGCCTTCTTGAAGCAGAAAGGCTCAACCTGCCCCCATGTGGGGAAAGCTGATGCCTGGGCATCTGCAGCTGCTCCCTTTGGGTTTGTAGTGACCCCTCCAATGAGGTTTTCCTTTGGGGTCTCAGCTACCTGGGGGAGGCGCATTCCCCACTTGCCAGGCAGCTCTCACCCAGAACACACCACAGACTAACAGCCTCTGAAGCTGCCTCCGTCCAGACCTGTTTTGCTGCATGCTCCAGGTCTGCCTTGTCCTCGGTCTCCCATCTTCCAAGGTCCCCACCCCAGCATTGCTGCTTCACTGGTGCCCTCCTGGAAGCACCTGCTGGAGACCCCCATATGTGTGTCTTCCCAGGCTCCACGTGCAGGACTACAGCGGCACAGCCGGGCGGACAAGCAGCCTC